TAGAGGTAATATACAGCCTTCTCCCATCCCCATCTCTCCTGTCATGTTGGGTTAACAACCATGGAATACACATGTGATAATTACATGGCTCACTCATAAATCATAAGAATAAGTCATATACCCGAGGCCCTGAGCTGTAATGGAATTTTAGTGCATTTCAAATTTATAGCCAGTTCCTGATTATCCGGTTGAGTTGCCTGTGCCTCTCGGTTCTGTTCTGGCCTACCTTCTGACAGATTTATTTCTTGTGACTATCTCCCCTGGTGAGTAATAGTCATGGACATGGGAGGCAAAATTCAAAACGTGTCCATTCTGCAATTTGTAAGGAGCTATGATTCCTGGGGAGATTAAAACAAATTGAAAATCAAGGTTTTTTTTTTTATTATTATAAATTTTCCATTCTCAGAATGTTTGTCCCTGATTGTCATGGTAATTTAATAATTCCTCATTTTAATACACCTTAATATGTTCATTTTAAATATTCTAAATCATGCCTTCTATTTCTCTTTCCTTCACTTTTTGTGGTTAGAGGTTCATGAATTAATTAAATGTTTTTTTTATTATTAAAAAAATTTTTTTGAGGACAGAAGTCTCGGCTCTGTCACCGGGCTGGGAGTGCAGTGACATGGATTTCACTGCAGGCTCTGCTCCTGGGTTTCAAACGATTTTCCTGCTCGACTAGCTTTGAGGATAGGCCTTAGGGATTACAGGCACCCACACCCGCCTGGCTATTGTATTTTTGTAGACGGGGGTTTTGCCTTTTGGCCAGGACTGGTCTTGATCCTGACCTTAAGTGATCGCCCCACCTTGGCCTACCAAAGTGCTGAGATTATAGGCATGAGCCACTGTGCCCCACCCAAATGATAAATGTTGTTACATATGATGAGAGTGGGGGAGTTCTTGCCTTTTTTCCCAAATTTATAGTGCGTTCAATATTTAACCCTATGTATGATGTCAGCTATAACTTTATTATAATGTGCTTCATGAGATTTTTTGGGGGAGAATAGGCGGCTAGCAAAATAATTAGACAAACACACTGCAGAAAATCATATACATTTTCAAATCAAATACATAAGACCAGCCAGGTGCAATGGCTCATGCCTGTAATCCCAGCACTTTGGGAGGCCGAGGCGGGTGGATCACCTCAGGTCAGGAGTTCAAGACCAGCCTGATCAACGTGGTGAAACCCCGTCTCTACTAAAAATACAAAGATTAACTGGGCATGGTGGCAGGCGCCTGTAATCCCACCTACTCGGGAGGCTGAGGCAGGAGAATCACTTGAACCCAGGAGGCAGAGGTTGCAGTGAGCCGAGATAGAGCCATTGCACTCCAGCCTGGACAACAGAGTGAGACTCCATCTCAAAAAAAATAATAAAATAAATAAATAAATAAATAAAATAAAACCTGTATTAATCAGAACTAGCAGTTAAGGTATATTTTTTGTTTATTTTACATTGAGAAAGCAGCAACACATAAGAAAAGCTAAAGTGTTTAACAAATCAACACCAGCTTCCCTTTTGAGTAATATAATTTAGGTGAGGACACAGTCACTTCAGTTTTTTTTTTTCCTTCTGTACGTTCCTACAGCATATGTCATTATTCGATCTAGTAAAATAACCTGAATAAGGGAAATTTCATAGAAGCGCCAGGATAGAATTGGAAAGCTGGCAGAGATGGTACTGAACTGTATTCTCCTAGATTAGTATTTTTCCTAAGTAAACCAAGTTGGTTTTTTGAGATTTTGTTTTCTGCATTAAGAACTCAGGCTTTATTTTAGAAGACAAGGTAGTTTTAGGGATATTTAGAGAACCAAGATGACATTGTCTAAAGGTTGGTTGTTCGGGGAGGTTGCATGGAATTTTAGGCCGAATTGAAAGTAGCATTTATCAACAGCACTGGAACATGTTCGAAAAGATCTGAACTGTTAATAAAGATTTAATGTCAGCTCCCAGGAAATAAGGTTAACATACTGTTAAGTGTGCTATTTCTTTTTCTACTACTCTTACAATTAACACTGTCACCAAGGCCTAATTCTTCATGTGGTAGGAGTCAAAGGTGAATACACGGTTTTGCACAGAAAAGTTTTTAACCTATGAAATGGCCCAGCTGTTGTCTATATTAATTGTTTTCTTTGGTATTTGTAGGGTATTGATGACGTCACTGGTGAGCCATTAGTCCAGCAGGAGGATGATAAACCTGAAGCAGTTGCTGCCAGGCTAAGACAGTACAAAGACGTGGCAAAGCCAGTCATTGAATTATACAAGTGAGTGTGCTTCGATATTTTCATGACGAAGGACAGACTGGAAAGGTGTGGAGCCTACGGGGAAGAACACTGGGCTGAGGCAGAGGAGTGTTTCTTTAAGACAGATAAACACTAACAACCCAAAACCTTCCCAGAAGTCAGATGAAATGCTGGAGCTGTACGTGAAAGATAAGTTTCCGTACTTTTATCCTGAAACGGTTAGAACATAAGGACCCCAAACCTGATCATCTCTATCTGTTCTCAATGTAAAACAACATTGAGATTTATTTTCATTTTCTTAAAATTTTAAGTGACTAAGATAGTGGTCCCACATATGTGGATACTCCCACATACAAATATCTGGTTCGGATAGAAGATTAGAAGAGACTTTTGGTGTGTCCCTTCTTGAAGTGTCTGCAGGGAGTTTAACAAAGAAAGGCTAAAACCATAAAGCAGAGATTAAAAATTCAAATGGCTGCAGGGGCTAGGGCAGGTATTGGAAATGAGTCTCAAACATGGTGAGGGATATGTCAAGCTAGGCAGCTGAATGACAGTTGAACTGGACAGGGTGGCTGCTCCAGCCAGTTAGCATTCTAGGGCACACAGGCCAATGATTCCCGTTTTTCAGGAAGAACAGAAGTCTGACTTTCTGTGTGTGTGTTTTGGGGGAAATCTCAGTTTTCATATTGGCAACATATTTACATTTTTTAAATAACATGCAAGTCAAACAAATCTCTATGCTGAGTGCATTCAAAACAGCAGTTTATACTCTCTGTTACAATCACTTTCTGGCCTTGTAGTCCCCAGGAAATTTAGCAAACCTTTAGATGAGAGTTTTATGATCATATTATTATGATACAGCAATCATGTGTTCCATGATTCATTAAGTAATAAGGGTTTTAATATACCAAAGCTTTTCAGTGGTTTGCTTTTGAAAATTGTATATTGAGGCACATTTGGAATGGTGCCTATAATGCTATTCTTTGATATGTTTTAAAGGGGAGAAAAGAGGTGGCATCATGACAAGCATACCAGTATTGCAAAAGCTATGACCTTATTTAGGTACACCTAGTGGAAGTGTTGATACCTTTGAAAGGGGCTGGTTTAGCACTTAGTGTGATATATGATATAGACCATAAGATCATGCTTGTTTTATATCTAGGATCTTCTGCACTAATATGTGGAGAAGAAACCAAAAAAGCCATTGTATGTTGGACTTTGTTTTTCAGGAGCCGAGGAGTGCTCCACCAATTTTCCGGGACGGAGACGAACAAAATCTGGCCCTACGTTTACACACTTTTCTCGAACAAGATCACACCTATTCAGTCCAAAGAAGCATATTGACCCTGCCCAATGGAAGAACCAGGAAGATGTGGTCATTCATTCAATTGTGTGTGTAGTATTGGTGCTGTGTCCAAATTAGAAGCTAGCTGAGGTAGCTTGCAGCATCTTTTCTAGTTGAAATGGTGAACTGATAGGAAAACAAATGAGTAGAAAGAGTTCACAAGAGGCCCTCCTCTGCCTTTGAAAAGGAAGGTCACCTACACCTGTTTAAGGTGTCTCTGCACGTGTCTCAAGCCCTTCACAAGAAAGCAAGTACAGTGTGGATTTCAAGTGGTGTGTAACTTCAGCTCCAGCTGGTTTTTGACAGCTGTTGCTGTGGTATTCTTTTTTACACATGATGGTGATAGTTTCTGGTTCTCCCCATCCCCACAAAGGCTGTTGAACTACAGCACCAGGAAGCCTGAGAATGAATCCTAAGGGCTCCAGCCCAGACTTCGTCCCAGGCTTTCTGGTGTGTGCCCCCCTGGTAACAGTGAAATTGAAGCTGCTTCCTCACAGTGGTTGTTTCTCTGGTCTTGAGTGACTGTGTCCACAGTTCATTTTCTTCCAGTAGGAATAACTCCTTTTCTGTATCCGCACTCCATGGAGTCTCTCCTTTTCAGACATCCTGGGATGAAAGAATTTGGCTTTTTTTTTTTTTTTTACATCTGTTTTCACTCTTAGGCCGTTAAACAAAACTGATAGTTATTACTCTTATCCCTCTCAAATTATTCTAAGAACTGAGAGTGATGGGGTTGTATTGAATTTCTGTATGCACCGGGAACTGAGCTATGAAGAGGATCTTATTAAACTGCTGGTCTGACTCATGGATTGACACTGTTCCTTTCTTTTATTGTGGAAAAAAAAAAAAACCCTAAAAGTCTTGGGAACCCCCTAAAGTCTTTTGGGAATCCTCAAAAAGCATGGGAAATATAAGTATTTAGCTACATAAATGTTGTAAGATCATATTTTATGTATAGAAGTAATAAGACCGTTTGGAATTACTAGACTAATTGAATAGTTACGGTTTCTATTCAGTACAATAAAATGTATTTTGAAAGTGCTGCTAACTATTGATGCTGACAGTGTTTCACTCCTATGAGTGACCCAAACATATTATAAATAGGTGGTAAAGGGAGTGGAGCCTGTGGGGTTGAGCAGAATGTTGTACTAACTGTGCTTGGACTAAGTATAACAGCTTTATGATTATGGGAAAACAAAATCTTTATTTTTTTTTTCTGTTCCAAAGATTCATCCTGTGGGGTGGCCATAAAGTCTAGAATTAGATACTAATATTTTGTCATTCGTTATAACATAGTATCAATAAACCATTTGTTAAAAGATTTGCCTGGTTTCCAGACTTGGTGGCCACCTTGAATAATTCTTCCTATCCTCTGGGAAGGATGATGAAATTTATTCCTGCTGCCTTAAAAATATGTATCCCTTCTTCATGCATCATGACTGTCCCCAGCGAGTATCCTTTACTATTCCTGGGAGTGACTCCTGTCTAACTTTTCATACTGGTGAGAAGAAAAGAAGCCTATTGTAACACTTTAGTGATGTTGAAACACATTACTTACTTTGTGAAGATGTCCCAGTGAATGCTCTGTCAATTCACTGCCGTATGTCATCTATATGATAACGAATGCATCTTCCTTCTAAGTACTGCCCAAACTCTTGCCAGCTCCTCTCCCATTGTCCCTTCATGTGATTATTTTTTGGCTACCTTAGTGGAAATATAGACCAGTCTTCTCCCCATCCATCCTCTCAAACATAATGAGATTGTTTATTTTTTAGATTTATGCAGTGAAAATGCCCAGTCAGGTCTATGAATCGTCAGTGCATTATATTGACTCTGAGCACTTTAGAATGTAGAGTTGCAATTGAATGCCAGCTGTGGTGATGGGGTGCATATCAGATATGTAGATAAAGCTCAGGTTTGCTGGGGAACCAGGTATAGAGAAAAATAAGTCTGATACAAGGAAAATTGCACAACTTAGAGTAGTTCTGCTATAGATAAAATTTCCACAAAATAGGAAATGTAGAGTTATTCTATAGAATACTAGAAAGAGTAAAGACTGCTTTTTGGAAACAGGAAAATCTTCAAACTTCTGTCTTCACTTCCCTTTGTGTTTAGCTGACCCTCCAATGTGATCATTGCTTTTAGAGTTTGGGAGAGGTATGGGAAGTGGCCTGATCCCTGCTTCCATACTTCACTCCTCCATCCATCCATCCTTCCCCTCCAGCTAAATGGACAATTCTAGCCAACACTGAGTCACTCTTAAGTCTCAACAGTGGGTATGTTTGCTGAGATTGTCCAGCAGTTGAGCAGTTTGGTCTCACCTCCCTCGCTAGCTGAGACCAAAAAGAGACAAATACCTTTTTCATGGTCTTAGAAACAGAATGCTTATTTCGTGGTCAGTGGCTTTTAAAAAATCTATTTCTGGTTTTCTTCAACAGACTCACTAGTTTTCCTTTAAATGATTTTGTAAAAATTAAAGTTATCTTGAAAATGTTTTGGCAAAAGTAAAATTAAAGGGACATCTTTTTTTTTTTTTTTTTTTTATCTGTTGCCACACATGGCTGTTCCTTCACCTTTAAGCAAAGAGAGTGGTTCAGCTGGTTTCTAAGATGCCAACCTGACCTTGCATTCTGTCATTCTACCCAGCTCTTAGTTCAGTTTGCTTCCATTATCCTAACAGGCTTCTTACTGACTTAGAACTTGGAAAGGCTGCTATATTTAATACTCTCCAACACTAACGCAGACTTAAGATAGATACTGTTTATTGAAAATCTACTGAGTGAAATGTGCGGTTTTAGGACCTTTATAAACATCTCATTTAATCTTTCTAGCATCCTGTGAAACAGCCATGATTTCATGTTGATAAACAAAGAAGACAGGGGTCCCAGGGATGTGAAGCATTTTGCCCAGGCTTCTGCTGCTGGTGACCAGTGTAGCTGGAACTCCAGCTCAGGTTTTCCTGACTCAGAAGACTGAGCTTGTTCCTCGATGTTATTAACAGCTACTTGTGTCCAAGCAACCAAGGGCCTTGAGTCTACTTGGTTCTGGTTATGGCCTCATATCAAGACTAATAGAGCTAGTCTAGGTATGGTGGAGCTGGTCCATGCCTGTAGTCCCAATGCTTTGGGAATCCTTGATGGGAAGATTGTCAGAGGCCAAAAGTTCAAGACCAGGCTGGGCAATATCACAAGACTCCATCTCTACAGAAAAATAAAAAATTAGCCAGCCATGGTGGTGTACACTTGTGGTCCTAGTTACTCAGGAGACTGAGGCAGGAGGATTGCTTGATCCTAGGAGTTCGAGGCTGCAGTGAGCTGTGATTGCACCTCTGCACCCAAGTCTGGGCAACACAGCGAGACCCTGTTTCTTAAAAAAAAAAAAATTGCAGAGCTCACCAAAGTGATGTTCACCTTTTTATGACGTTCCTTTTTTTTTTTTTTTTTTCCTTTGCTTAAGCAAAGAAAGCTGCTAGAAGAGAGTCTTAGTTTTCCTGCATAAGACCTCCTTTATGAATAGAATAAACGACTGTCAGAGTAGGCTGGGCTTGGGCCCAGGCTAAACTATGAAGGAAGCAAGCTCATATCCCTTAACTACCCTTTCCGTGTCCATTGGGTTGTGCCCCGGAAGTGACCTTTGCCCTTGAGCCATCCCCAGCCCATGGTGCCCACACATAGGCTTTTGAGCTCCTTGGAGCTATCCAGACCCTGTTCACTTTTCCTTCCTGAGATTAGAACAAATCACCCCCTTACTCCCACTCCAAACAAGGTCTTGATGATAAAGTAATCCTTAAAATGCTGGTAGATAAACAAGCGATGATGAAGCATCGAACACAGGTTAGCTCCTGACTTTTGTACCAATGTCTCTGTGTTCCATTACACATTAACATGACTCTGAGTGCCACATCCAAACCTTTGCCCACCATCTGCTTGTTGTGCAACAGTTGAGGCAGTAACCAGGGGAGATTCACTTCCTGTCTTGTCCTTCCCCAGGGATCACTCCCCTGCTGCCCTCTAGCAGCCAAGCTCAGATGAGCTCCATTGTTACTCTAGGTGTGCCCATCTCTTTGGTGGGGAAGGAGAAAGGTAAGAATAGCCATGAATGAGGAAGGATTCTTGGAGGGAGGGGCCGCTGTGGTTTTTCCTGCTATTTAAGATGTTGAGACCGGATAACTTTAGAAAAATGCCTGCACAAACCCATAAATAGTGCTTTTATAAAGTTTATAAAACTTTATAAAACCTGAGTTCAGTATTTGACATTAGCTTTTTGTCCAAAGAATTGAAGCCTGCTGGAGGTCTTTGCTCAAATAATAAATACTGCATATTTCCAAATGTGTTCAGGTATAGGCACTAGGTACTGTCTGTTTACTCCATGTTAGGTACATTACATGCATTGGCTAATCAAATCCTCATCAATTACCTATGTAATAATCTCAACTTGCCTCCTTGTATTATAAATGGAAATAATCCTGTTTATTTTAAATGGGTTTTCATGTACCTATAGGGATGAGTCAGGAAATTCAAAGGGCCTTTTTTATACCTTTTCCTAGTTTGAGCTCCCTGTTCTCTTTAACAGATAAAACAACATATTTGCTTCAGCCTGGATTCTTTGTTTTTGGTGCTTTGGTGCAGAGACAGGAAATGGGCACTCAGAGTCACACTGGTAGTTGCACACTGTATCTACAGAGGGCGTGTCTCATCTGTACTCTGCTGGGTTACAGGATTTCAGGAGGTATTTGTGTCCACCTGAAAATTCCGTTTATTGCCTTTCATTTAACAGTGTCTTTCCTTTCTGCAGTTGGTTTTGCTAGAGAGGCAATTCATAAGGTGAAGTCCTGTTCATGGTAGACTTGCTTTCTCACTATCCCCTTCAATTTTTAGTAACTCCCTGGTCTATTTGGTGTCTTTAAAAAAAAAAAATAACCTGGTAATGGAGACTTCTTTTAATATGGAAATGTGGTCTGGTAGTAAGTTACTCCTTTCCACATGTAACTGACCCAGTCTGGTTTCCAAATGAGAAGTGTGCAAGCCCCAGATGTTGAGACGCCGTATTTCAACTGTGAAAAAAATCTGCTTCCTGCATCTGTTGAAATATAATTGTTCATACTTGCCATCCCTTATCTTTCTTGTAACAATATGCACAGTTTTTGCCAGAATAAATGCCATTATCTGTATGCTTCAGGGAATTTCCCAATTTGATCTGTGTGTGTGTGTGCGCGCGCGCGCGCATGTGTGTGTGAGAGAGAGAGAGCTGCAGTAAAACACTTCTAAAGGGTGAAAGCTCTTGTATGGCATAGATACCTTCCTCTGGTAATAATTAGGTTATTCCCGGAAGCACAGTGTCATTCTTTAAATAAAAGCTTTCCTGTTTAAAGCTTTTCAAAGGAGCAGACCATCTTGAAGATTTCCCCTAGCGTTGATATGTATCTAATTCATTTTATAAAATCCTTCTTGTCTTCATTTTAAAGCTTTGGCTATAGTCAGAAATGTCCTAAATAACAAACTATTTTGTATTTAATTTAGAGAAGAGTAAAGGGAAGAAAAATGAAAACTCAGTCTTTATGTAAGCTCCAAGGATATTAGGGCTTAGAGGGCTTTTCTAGTTTTATGAGAATTTGTACTACTGATTTTTATATATTCTTGTTTTTGAGATGAACAGATCTCTGGGGAAATTGTTGAGTTACAATGGCATTTCACTGTGATCCCTCTCAAGCTCACATCAGTTCTGTAACCCAATGACGACCTGTCTCTTCGGTTTACTGTCCTGTGAAATGTCAGCTCAAGTTTCCCAGAAGTTGTGTGTTTATGATGAGTCAGAGTGCTTTTCCTCGGTGGGACAGTTGCTGGCCCTCTTAATTTTGGTGTATGTGCTTCAAAGTATCTAAACCTCCAGTCTGATCTGTACATGCTATCCTGTTAATTGTATTATTGATTATTTTGATTATCTTGCTTGAAGGTTCATACTTTTGAATTTGATAGAAATAAAGTTTTTTTCTGCTTATAACTAGTGAATTCATTTAATGTTTGTATAGCTTTTTATACTTGATGATATAAAATTTCACAAATACTTTCATTGATGCCATCTGCAACTACTACATTACCAACAATGTTGTCTCCAATTTGCAGAAAAGCAAGATCCTGAACCAAGAATTATTATCCCCAGTCCTGTTTTCTTTTCTACTACAGCATATTGCCTTATTCGTATACCCTTAAATTCCTATTTGTCCAGCACTTTATTGTTTACAATTTTAATGTACATCCTTTGTTGTTTTTTTTCCCCAACCTCTAGACAACCAGGGATCTTTTTTTTTTTTTTCTTGAAACAATTAGATAATGTGAGCAGATTCTCTCCCTGTTTTACACATTAGGAAATTCGATCGGATTATGTGACTCTAAGATTGTAGCATCTGGGATTACTCAGCAGAAGCAGAAACTATAGCAGGTCTATCACATGGGAGCTAGAACCATGAAGAAAATAGAGCTGCTGTAGGCGAAACTCCCTGAGATAGTGAGGGATGGGGAAAAATACTCTGGCATTTCCCAGCCTCACACTCTTCTGTCTGTGGGGCAGCTTCCCTTAGCTGAACCCAGCCAGAAGCCAGCTGACATAGGAGGCTGAGAAACATGTTCTAAAGGCTTGTCCATGCTGCTGAAAAGGCAGAGGAAAGGGGAACTGAAAAGGATGGCAATGTGGTAGATTGTGTTAAATTTAATGACATCCAGTCCCCTCCTCTTTTTTTTTGAGACAGAGTCTTGCTTTGTCACCCAGGCTGGAGTGCAGTGATGCAATCATGGCTCGCTGTGCAGCTTCAACATTCTGGGTTCATGTGATCCTCCTGCCTCAGCCTCATTAGTAGCTGAGACTACAGGTGCATGCCACAATGGGCTAATTTTTTTTTCTGATTTTTTTGTAGAGACAGGATCTCACTATGTTGCCTAGGGTGGTCTGAAACTCCTGGGCTCAAGCAGTCCTTCCACCTTGGCCTCCCAAAGTGCTGGGATTACAGGAGTGAGCCACTGTGCCTGGCCACTTTCCCTTCTTTTGGGAGGATTTTACACCTTGACCCCATTGGCTTCAGGCTTGGACATATGGTTTGCTTTGACCAGTGAAATGTGGGCAGAAATGACATGTGCCACTTCTGAGCAGAAGTTTTAGGAGCTAGGGCATGGTCACCATTCTCTTTTCCTTTTCAGTGAGACTGGCGACCTCACAGAGCTCTTTCAACCTGAATCCTAAAGGGAAGACACAGACCAGAGATGTAGCCAATCCATCGTAGATGAGCAGTGTACATTAAAAATAAACCTTTGCTTTACAAGCCACTAAGATTTGGATAGAGTTTATTTTCACAGCATAACTTAGCCCAAGCTGACTGATAAAACCGGGCCTAAGACTAACATATCTTGTCATCCAGTTATAACTTTGATTCTTTTATTATGCATTTTTATGCTCTCGGGTTACAAAGATGAATCAGACCGAGTTTTTGCCTGGGACTTCTTCAAAATGTACTGGAGGAGATGGACATGTTATTAGATTACTCTATACATGACTGTTGGAGTTGATCACTGCTCCATAAAGGAAAAAACAGAGGTAGTAACTCTCTTCGCTGGCCAAGTAGAGCCCATGGAAGAACTAATATTTGAGCTGAGTGATGCATGCAAAAGAGAACCCAAGCAGAGGAAATGCTAGGCACAAGAAAGTCTGAGCATGCATGGCAGGTGGAGGCCACAGCAGTGTGAGGCAGGACTGGGGAGATAATGGTAAGATTGAATTCTGTTGGGAAGCGCCTGGCCTTCCTTTGGTTCGTGGTAGGCAGTATAGACTATATTGCCAGAAAATGACACCTTCAGATTTGCATCATAACGTCGTAACTGTACCATGGTCTGAACTAAGATGTGGTAGCAGAGTTCAACAAAAAAGGATGGTTGGATAATAACAGAAGAGAAAAACTTAAATGACACTAGGGAACAAAAATGAGTGAAATAGTGGTGAACGTGAGGCAGTAAGGAGTAGGGCTGTGAGGACTGGAGGACGCTGCCCTATCAGAGGGGAGCCATTGCTCAGTTCTGGACAGTTGTTACCGTCTTAAGGGCGGTGGCTCAATGCTGCCACAATTATTCAATTTGTCAAAAGAAGCCAAAAATTTGTGTTTCATGTGAAATTTTATTTTTAAGTATTTGCAGTTTTAAAAAATTAGGGGAGGGCTTTCCAGTCTTAACAAAAAAAATGCAGAGTTATCAAGAATTCTGTTTTTATTTTTATTTTATTTATTTATTTATTTTTGAGACAGAGTCTTGCTCTGTTGCCCAGGCCAGAGTGCAGTGGCGAGATCTCTGCTCACTGCAAGCTCCGCCTCCTGGGTTCACGTCATTCTCCTGCCTCAGCCTCCCAAGTAGCTGGGACTACAGGCGCCCACCACCATGCCCGGGTAATTTTTGGTATTTTTAGTATAGAGACAGGGTTTCATCGTGTTAGCCAGGATGGTCTTGATCTCCTGACCTTGTTATCCACCCGCCTCGGCCTCCCAAAGCGCATGAGCCACTGCGCCCAGCCGAGAATTCTGTTTTTATAAGAGAGCACTACTCATTTAAATCACTTGAGTTTCTCTCCTGCTCCATAATTCAACTGATGTGATGTTTTCCCATATTAATTTCAGCCAGTGAATATGTGCATATCCAGTGATGTTTCTCTCTCTTTCTCTCTCTCTCTCTCTCTGCCAGAGGGACTACAATCAAGGCACCTTTTGTCTTGCTCAGGACCACAAGGAGTTGGGGACAGGGAGCCCTACTATTTGAAAGTGACTAGGAGCTGAGCAGTGCTCAGTCTCTCCCGTGGCCAGTTTTTCTCCTGCCAGGATCCTGGCATCAGTCCCTTTAACAAACCTAGAAGGCCTCCCATGAACAAATTATATCTCAGGTCCCATTAGTAGTTAACACTTTGCATCCCTGCCAGTCTAGTGCCATATAACCTGAGAGAGGGATGCTATTTCCTGACAAGGAGGAATCAGAAATACAAAAATGAACGGTCCGTAACTAGACCAGTCAGGACAGACCAGCCATTCTCTTCAAAGTAGTGACTCAGATACACTGACCCCTCCAGATCCACTGACTATGTCAACCATCCTGGGGGCACTGACCATCTCAGACAGGCCACTCTGGACATATTGGACACCATGACATCCTGACTATTCTGGATACATTGATCATATACACCCACCACAATATGAAAGCCTTCTATTAGTCCAACAGGGTTAAGGAGAAGAGAGTAGACTAAAATTGCTTAGAGACCTCGACGAACCATCTTTTATGTTTTATCGTCATTAAAAAAAAAAAAAAAAAAAAAAAAAAAAAAACCTTTCGTATGTTTCTTAAGTATAAAGATAATTTAAAAGAAGTGACTTATTTAGGATACACATGAAAGTCTTACCTAAAAATTTATAGATACTGCATTTATAAGTTGAGGCTAGATAGTAAGGACTCTTTGACGATAATGACAGATGCCCAGATCTGAATCTTTCTACACATTTCAAAAACCATACAGGCTTGGCATGGTGGCTCACGCCTGTAATCCCAGCACTTTGGGAGGTTGAGACAGGAGGATTGCTTGTGCCCAGTAGTTCGAGGCTGCAGTGAGCCAAGATCATGCCACTGCACTCCAGCCTGGGCAGCAGAGCAAGACCCTGTCAATACATACATAAATACATGTATATATATACACACACACACACACATACATACATACAGCTCAACAAGGACAGCAAATAAAATTATAACTCGTATCTACTAAATACTAAGAAATTTAATATGAACTCTCATTTTATTTAAAGGGGAAATCATAGTCCCAGCC